AACCTATTTTATTTCTCTGAGGGCTTGTAGGATCTTCTTTTTGTCTCTAGTGTGATTTAATGTGGGTTTGTTCTTCTGTTTTCTTGGATTAAATCTGCAAATCATATCCTTTAGGTTTAGAAAATTTTCTTGAATTACTTTGTTGATGATTTCTTCCCTTTTTTCTGTTTTGTTTTTCTAGAATTCCCAATATTAGATATTGCGTATTCTGGACTGGATCTTTTAATTTTCTTATGTTTTTACTCTGACTTTCCATTTCCTTTTCTTTTATACTCTTCTTTTTAAAAGAAATTTCCTCGGCTTTATTATCCACCCTGCAATTTTTCATCTCTGTAATCATTTTTATTTTCAAGACCTTAGTTTTGGTGCACACCCCTCTCTCATTTCTTCCCCCCCCCAAATTAGGGCTTCCTGTTCTTATTTCATGGATGTACTATCTTCTATTGTTAACTCTCTGAAAGTACTAGTTATAGTTTTATTTTTTTGACAATTTTCTTGTGCAGACTATATTTCTTCCATCTTTTTTCTTTCTTTTTTTTTTTGCTTGGTCTCTTGTTTTTTATATTAGATACTTCATATAAGAGTGAATGAAGCACTACTAATAAAGTACAAACATTTTATAATACTTAGAATGTGCCAGACACTGTTGTAAGTGCTTCATCTATTTTCACTTACTTAATCTTCAAAAGGACTTTAAGAGCTAGTTACTATTATTATTATTAGTAGTAGTATTAGTATCACTATGTGACAGATAAGGAAACTGAGGTACACAGTGTTGAAGTAATCTGCCCAATGTGACAGAGTTAAATGGCAGAACTAGAATTTGAATCAGAGTTAAATGGCAGAACTAGAATTTGAATCAACCTGACTCTATAGTCTTTTCTTTTAGCCTTTATGCTATTCATCCTCTTATTGAAATCGGGAGCAAATTGGAAATTCTGTGCAGGTGGGTAGGGTTTGTCAAAGTAATGTTACCTGAGTGAACTGTTTTTTGTTTGTTTGTTTATTTTTGATGGAGTCTCTCATGCGGTCCTTTTTCATGGGTTTAGATTCACCAAAGAAGAATTTTTTTTTAAATATTTATTTATTTATTTTAGAGACAGAGAGCAAGCATGGGGAGGGGCAGAGGGAAGGAGAGAACCCTGAAGCAGACTCCCCCCTGAGTGTGGAGCCTGACATGGGGCTCAGTCTCAAGACCCTGAGATCATGACCTGAGCTGAACTCAAGAGCAAGTCGCTTAACTGACTGAGCCACCCAGGTGCCCCAGAGAAGAATTTTCTAAGACAATGACTAGAGACTGAAACCTAGCTGCTGGCAGTTTGGTTGCCAAGTAATCAAAGAGGATTGGGAGAACGGGTCTCAATATGTAATATAACTTTTAGTCCAGCAGTCTCAGTGTCCTCTAATCTGGACCATTGACTTTATCCTGTCTAGGGAATAAACCTTTATTCTTCTGTGATGAAGAACTGTAAGTTGTCCTGTTTTGCAGATTCTGGAAGGGGATCTTGCTGTACATTTGCCACTCTTATTTTGAGTCCCACCTTTACCCAACTTTAATTGCCATACATTCCTAAGCCTTTTGTAGATTCTTTGATGTAAATGTGATTGATTCTTATTTTCCCCAGTGGTAGTTTTAGATTCATCTTCCTTATATTTGCTTTCAAATTTTTTTGTAGTTTTCTCATTTCACATTCTCTTTGAACCTGTGTTTATGCAGAAACAATCAAAACAAATCTTTGCTATTTTTTAGGAAAAGACTTTGTGGAAAAGACTTTAATAAAATTCATGTTTTTTTTAAAGATTTTATTTATTTATTTGTTAGAGAGAGCATGGACGAGAGAGAGTGAGCGAGAGTACAAGCAGGGGGAGCTGCAGGCAGAGGGAGAAGCAGGCTCCCCGCTGAGCAAGGAGCCCGATGCGGGACTCGATCCCAGGACCCTGGGATCATGACCCGAGCCAAAGGCAGCTGCTTAACTGAGTGAGCCACCCAGGCCTCCCTAAAATTCATGTTTTTAATGTGCCATTTAAAATTCTCTGTTAGGTCTGTTGAAATAGATCTCAGATCTCTCCCACCTGAAGTACTTCATGATGTGCCAACTAGATATATCCCACCATCTGAAAATCTTTTCCTTCCACCGTGGACATTTTTTCTTCTTTCTTAAGGCTGCTTTATAGCTCATATTCTTAACATTCATATGGTTTTCTTATACTCTTCCCGTCCTGCCTCCCCAGACCATAACTCCTTGAGGATCTTGAGTGTTCTCTTCTACAAAGTTGCTTAATAAACATTTGTTACATTAAGTGTTGTATATATGTTTTTCTTATAAAATATCAGCAATGTATTAAATACCGAGAATAACAAAGGAGGGAATTGATAAAATAGTGCAACAGAAGAGATCAAATTCAGATATAAAGAAGTCTGAGAATCGTTTAAACTAGATACTGTGAAATCTTTCAATGTAGATACCTAATCATAGCAATCATACATCTTTCCTCCTGCCATGACACAAAAGAATGAACTACATGATCTTCCAACATTTTAGCCAGGCTCATGACTCTTTAAGTTACATGACAGATATATTTGGTGTTGCTGTATTATATTTAATGTTAAGTGCTAGAAATAGTCTAAAAAATTATAAATGCATTTTAGATAAAGTAATGTTTTAAATGTGCTGGAGTAGCTAAATCTGTAAAAGAGACCACACTTGTAATATTTCCTTTTAAAAACTAATTTTTAGTTTTTGTATGTAGTAAAATTGATTTGTTCATATCAGTGCTGTTAATTTTACTTTCTCCTGCTCTTTGTAATGTTCAGAAGGAAACAAACTATTGCAGGATTTGAAACTAAAATATTTGGAAAAATGTTAATGCTTTAAAATAATATTTCTTTGTTATATTTTAAGAAATTCAAGACAATTTATCTTTTAAAATATGTTAGTATTTCTTTGAAAATAAAGTAGAGGAAAACTGTCATCTTCATTTTAATATGTAAAGGTTGCTGGGATATGGAAAACATCAGTGATCATTGCTATATTCTTTTGTAGAGTTAAATCAGTACTTAAGAAGGTGAGGGTATTTTGTTCATTACCACAGGCAAACAACCTGAGGTGATTGTTAAACATGGCTATTTATTTTTGTTTTCAAGTTTTCTGGCATCTTACAAATAATTTATTGGGATATGATTTACAAAAACACATAGAAGCATTACTCTAGAAATTCTGTTATTTTGAGACTGTCTTATTTGGACACAGTGTTGTAGATGCTAAAAATATTCTTTAATTGTCTCTGAGATTCATGGAATACATGTGGAAAACACAGACTTAGTGTTTATAGTTTGACTTGGTTAATTCTCAGTATCCATATCACTCTTATTTCATAATTTCTTCATGAAAAATATAATCACATACAGATTTCTATTTGCTTGCAATACAGAATTAATGTGAATTCCAAACTAACCACCATCAAAAGTTTCTGAAAGTCTGGTTTATATTTTTTAAGTGTTGTATGTGGATGACTTGCTTAGCTTTGATTTTTGTGAGAAATACATCTTTTACAAAAGTTTTCATCAAACTATTAAATTGTAGGTAATGGTGACAACAGTGGTATCTCATTTTGGTTAATTTAATGTCCTTCCTTTTTATAATGTACTTCTGCCTCCGTATGTTCCTTTTAGTGTCATTACCTACCTGAGTTTCTGTGAAAATAAATTTTCTTTGTCTATTAAAACAAAACAATCCTTGAGATTGTGTTTCACTGTTTATTTTTCTTTGACTAGTTTTTGAGTTTTATTTTTGAAGGCATTAATATTAATTTCATTGAAAAGATAAGATCTGGCTATAGATGACTACTGCTTCATCACTTAAGGCAGAGTACCTTAGAAAATGCTTTTAGAATCATTGCTTAACATGGTTTAATTTGTTTAGCTGTTTTTGTTTTTTTTTTAGAAGTTGGAGAAGGTTGTTTTCCTGTAACCAAGTCCATCTTGTATTAGTCAAAGAAACTATAATTAATAATTTCAGTACATTCACTTTTGAAAGATAAAAAAGGAAACCAGTTATTATTGATCAGAGTATTACTTGTGGCTACTGATTCACAATTTATTGTGATTCTTTTTTTCATTTAAATGTATACCATCTATTACTTGTTTTGCTTTTCCAGGTTTTTTTGATTTTTTAATGGTTTGTTAGATAAAAGCTTTTTCTTCTTTTTAAAAGTCCTGGTACTCATGGTTTTCTCCTTCCATTTTTGTGATACACATTAAGGACAAAATAAAGCATGTATTATCTTAACTGCTTGTCTCTCTTATATAGTTTAACTGTAAAGAGAAGAGTTAGGATATTCACTTGTGTTTTTCTCTTCCCTGGTCTCCCATGAATACATGACTTGATTTATCTTGATCAGCCTAGTAACTTGCTCCACATTTTTCCAAAAGTGCAAAGCAGTTTCAGCTAAAAATACACATATCAAAATGCTCCAGAAGTTGTGGCCACAGCTCAAAAATGCTGATCAATTTTGAAAATCTAAATCAACCTCGGCCATGAAACCGAGGGAAGAACCTTTGTGGTGGGGGACAGATTTCCAAAAATTCACCACAGTCCTGTTCTTAGCTGGAGTTTGTGCTGCTGTTGCCAGACAACTGAGGAATAGATGCAAAAAGCAGGAAGCATTATTGAATTGAGCCCTAGTGCCAATTTGGGAAAAGCAAATTAAAATGTAAAAGAATATTTTTCCACTCCTGGCGTCTCAACACAAAATGGCAAAATACATGGTTGCTGAAAAAGTCACAGAAATTGCTAATTTTGCCTGAATGGCTAATTTTGCCAAAAAAACCCCAGTCTTTTTGCATTAAAAAATGCATACCCATATAGTTAGAAAAAGTAGATTTTTTTATCTCAAATGAAATAGTTTTAATTTACAAGTCAAAAACATTTAAGTCAGAAAAGTGTTTTGACATAAATGACTGTGTGTGTGGGCTTGTTTCAATGTCTTCTGATATTTTTCAGGTGCACTTGAAGAATGGATGATGATGATTTTGGTGGTTTTGAGGTATGTGCAATTACCTTATTTAGCTTATGTAATTGCTTTAACTTTGTGGGATTATAACAGAGTATACTATTTTGAAAATGTTATTATTTATCATTGGTACTCGTGATCATTTCTTCATCATTTTTAATGTAACACTGGAATAAAAAAGTGAAATCAAGGAAAATGAAAATCTATCCTTTTTGAATGATAAAACTAATTATTATTTGAATGTATGGTCATGCCCATGGAATGGTTTAAATAGAGTTAATTAAGTGCTACTAGTGGAAGCATTAAAGATGTTTTAAAAATTGTCAGCTGACGATTTTGCTGGGCTGCATGTCTATTAGGAAATACTTGTGAGATGAAGGATGAGTATTGCAGATCTGTCACATATTTTCATGTTTACACCTGTAATGAGTTGATTTAGTGGATTAACCACATAGCCTTTTGGTGGCTTATAGAGCTAATTAGTATGTTTGTGTTGTTAGATTATTCTCTCAGGTTTAAGTTGGATGCTTTGTAAATGGAAATTGTTAGCTGAAGAAGCACCGTCTTTTCCTTAATCCTTTTCAGTGTGTGTTCATTTTATTGAAATATTTTGTAACCCAGTTATTTTTATGGAGCCAGTATAGTCTTGCAGGAAAATCTCTGGATTAGGAGTCAGGATGCCTGAGCTCAAGTCCTGGAACTACCAAGTGAGCTCTGTGATTTTTTTTTTTCCTTTTTACTAAGACTTTCACCTAATTTGGAATTAGAGATTCTTTATTAAAAATAAGGAGTTTAATTAATGATGTTAATAGGAGAAACAAGGTATTAAGTATATATTCAGTATTCTGAATATCATGAAAAAGTGGTGTGAGTTTTTTAAGAATAGGATCATTTCTTGTCCATTGATCTTAATATCTGTCAATGTGGACAGATGTGGACAGAAATACACAACTGTTTTGTGTATTTCATCTGACACTGGTTTTTGTTTAGCACATTTGTATGTTTTTTGCATTTTCTTTAATGTTTTAGGTTTTGTTGGGCGATTGAATCTTCTTTTACTGAAATTAACACTTAAAATTTTGTTAAAATTTTTTTCATTTTGAGGATAATAGATGTTTCAGATATCATCTTAGTTTATTGTTTACAAGTTGTCAGTTGTTTGAAGGTTTAAACTTAGTACAGTTTTCTTTACTTAAACCATGTTTGATTTATTACATCAGAAAAAAAATAGAGTGGGTAGTTTTCCTCAGAGTAAAATTATACTTCCATGTTAACAGTCAATGGGCCTATTCCTTTCAGTATTACATATTTACAATGTTAACCAATTATTCCAATTTCATTGGTTATTAGGGTTCTTTCTTTTTATATCTGGTTGTAGAAATATGGAAGGTCTCCATCCTTGGTTAAATAAACCATGTTCATTTTTCACAGTTTATAGATAATAGTTACTATATTCTTTGTCACTTAGCTTCTGTGGCAGATTGCCTCAGTTGACTTCTTTTTGGCTGACAACTCAATGCAGAATCCAAATTGAAATTCTGGTTCTTTTTCTTAGTAATAATTTTGCTGTGATCTGGACAATTAAGAGAGAGAAAACCCTTACCCACAAACTCAGCATTCAGTAATTGACTGTCCCTTACTTTTAAAACTGTTTTAATAGGAAGGTTTGTTAATTTAAAATGTCAGTTTTAGGAATTTTCTAAATGTTGAATCTAGGAAGTCCACGTGGTAGATTATTGAAGAATATAGATGAATCCTGTTTCTTTAGATTGATCTCTATTAGGTCTTGTGCTAATTAATGAAAAAGATATACTTAGTTTAGAGTACTTAGATATAAAGTTCTCAAGTGAAAATGTGATCGAGGATATACAAAAAAAAATTTTCATTAGCAGGAGATGTATTAGTAAGGAAGGGAGATTTATACTTAAAAATAACAGAGCATGCATACTGGCGGTGGGGAGTAGTGGTTGGGGTGGTAACTATGAAGATTGAAAAACAGTTGAGTATTTGGGGGGAATTTGAAAATGCGTGATATATCACAGAGGATATGCTTGTGGGACTGGAAGGCTTGATTGCTTAAATAGCATTTCTACTTTTTAGATCTTTGAAAATAAATTTGCCTCTTTTTTTTTCTAGGCTGCAGAGATTTTTGATGGTGGAAATGGTGAAACCCAAACTACCTCTCCTGCCATTCCTTGGGCTGCTTTTCCTACAGGTACTACTATGCAGTAACTAGAATTTTTTTTTTCTTATTTAACACTTTACCTTTTCTTTGAAAGTCTCTTTTTACTTTTGCACTTGGCCTTCTTTGATCTGAAAAATGGAATGACCCAGATTTAATTTAGGTTTTTTTCATAACAGATTATAAATTGCATAACAGATTCTGCAGTGTGGCTTGAGGCATGATTCCAAATATGATATCATGAACATTAAATGAAATTAAAGTATAATTTACATTTCCTAATTCGTCTTAGTTTTAGGAAAATGAAGTACCAAATAATATTTTCAGGCTGTCCAGTTCGTTAATTAAAAGGACTTCTTATTCTCATTTTCTAAAAATATCCTAAAGTAATTTAACATCTTCATCAGTATTTAAATTTAGAAGTGTTCCCCCCGCCCCTGGAAGGTGATTCAAAAGTATTAAACATTAAAAATTAGCCATCCAAGAAATCAAATGCAAAAATAAATTCCATTATGAGAGATATTTTATGGAAGACCTAATGTTCAATATTAATATAATTCATTTATAGTATATTTTGAATTTTCTAGACTTTTTGTTTTGCCAAATCATTGTAAAGTTAGAAGTAGAAGATGAAAGTATCCTTCTTTAGCAGCTCTGCTTAATCATAGATCATTAGAGTTATTTAGCGTCCAAGTATTTTTCCAGTACTTGTTATGCATTAGGTGCTATGGGAATATGTCCTTTACTTCAAGGGAAGATAGGACAGGCACATACATACTTGTAATATGAAGCAGATTTGTGATTGGGGAAGAATGATGATTTCCTCATCCATTCGTTTAGCAAATGTTTATTTCATGCCTGGTATGAGTCAAGTACTACCCTTGAAGCTGGGGTATATATTATTGATCTGGGCTTTGAAGGATGTTTATGATTTGAATAGGCAGAGATGGGAGAATGGGGAAAGATTTTGAAGGGAGAAAAAGCAGTGAAACAAAGGTGTAAATGTGGGAGATAGGATGACATAGTTAGGATGCTCATTCTTGTTTGAGGGATTTATGTATGTGGTTTCCTTTGCCTGGAATTTCTCACCTTGTTTCCCACTGCCGCTCTCTCCTGCTCCCTTATCATACTAACTCCTATTTGTTTTATGTGCTGTTTTTTGCTTTAATATGCCTTTTTCTGGGAAGCCTTCCCAGAAGCCTTCCCAGAGAACCCTCCCAAGTCTCTTTTCTGACTTGCAGTTTAGGCTGTAAATTTTGTGGGGTTAGGCACCATGTTTATTTGTCCTTTTGTTATGTCTTCAGTGCCGAGTATAGTGCCTAGCTTATAGTTGGTCCTCAATAAGTATTTAAAGGAAGAGTAATTAAAGATAAAAAAAAGAATGAGGGAAGCCTTGGTGGCTCAGCTGGGTAAGTGTCAAACTCTTGGTTTCGGCTCAGGTCATGATCTCAGGGTTGTGAGATCAGCCCCACCTCTGGCTTTGGGCTCAGCAGGGAGTCTGCTTGAGATTCTCTCCCTCTGCCCCTTCTCCCACTCGTGAGCATGTGTGCACACGCTCTCTCTCTCTTTCAAGTAAATAAGTAAATCTTTGAAAAAATGTATAACCGAATGAGTGACAGCTAGAGTGGCAATGGAAATTGATAGGAAAGTTGGAATAATAATATTTATGTAATGGTTTAGGATTTTCAGTGTTTGTCACGTATTTGTTTATTGTAAAGTAGGTAGGACAGCTACAATATTTATTGTACAGATGACAAAATGATGGGTCATAAAAGTTTTGGAGTTTGATACAGGTAAATATGTTTAGGAATGAAATCTAGTCTGTCAGATTATATTTCAGTTCTTTTTAAGTTAACTGTTTTTTTTGGGGTTGGAGGAAGCATCAGCAGGGCTGTGTGGCTGACTGGATGTGAGGATGAGGGAGGAGTCAGAATTGATTTTTGAAGTTTCAAGCCTTGATTCTGAAGGAATGGTATTACCTTGAGCAGAAATAGAGAATTTAAAAAAAATTGGTTTGGGACAGCGTGAAGCCTAATGAATTTGTCTTAGACTTGTGTATTTAAGGTGCCTTCAATTCAGGAGAAAGGTTAAGGCTGGGGTTCTTGGTTTGGGAGTTTTCTCATAGATCCGATAGTTGAAGTTGTAGGAGATAACTGGGAGAAACAGTAAGTAGAGAATAGGGTTAAGTAGAGAACTTTAGATGTTCATAATTAGGGAACAAGAGGAAGAGAAAGAGAAGATTGAAAGATAATGAGAGTATGGGCTAGGCATCAGGAGTAGAACATTTCAAAGAAGGTATGGTCGCTGCTGTCAAAGGCTGTGTGTGAGAGAGGTCAGTGTGATCAGAGACTGAGAAAAAAAGCACAGTTAGAAATGGCTTTTATGAGTCCGGCTTCTGGGTACCGGCTTCCCGCTGTCCTGCGCCTGGCGGGCTGGCAACGGGCGCGAGGAAAGCAGAGCAGGTCTGCGGGTCTAGGTGTCAAGTGTCGTGTCGGCGCACTCACGGTGAGAATTGGGAGAAGGAGGAGACAGCAAGGATAGGCCCAGGAGCAATGGCGTCCAAAGAGGAGCACGCAGTAAAAAATCTCAACATGGAAAATACCGACCAGGAAAATGAAAAAAAAGATGAAAAGGAGCAAGTTGTTAATAAAGGAGAGCCCTTCCCTCCCTTTGGACACTGGTGAATATTGTCTGCCTAGAGTAAATCGTAGGCGGTTCCGTGTTAGGCAGCCCATCCAGCAGTATAGATGGGATGTGATTCAGAGGCTTGAAGAGCCACAGGGAAGGATGAGAGAAGAGAATGTGGAAAGGATTGGGGAGGAGATGAGACAACTCATGCAAAAGCTGAAGGAAAAGCAGTGCAGTCATAGTTTGCGGGCAGTTAGCACTGACCCCCCTCACCATGACCATCATGATGAGTTTTGCCTTATGCCTTGAATCCTGGTGTTTTCTCTGAAGTTAATAAGGAGACACCTGCTTTCTAAACTTATGTGTTCATGATATAGCTTTGTTGTAAACCTTTTGATGTCACTCATTTCTAGTACGTCTATTATTACTTCGAGTTGAATGTATTTTTGATCCGATCTGTAAGATTTTGTTAGCAGGAGAACTTTACCTATTGCATGGAGAGATGGTCATTATATTGTGAAACCAATAAAGCAGTCTAAAAAAAAAAAAAAGAAATGGCTTTTATGGAAATGATTTTAGTAGATTGGAAGTTGAAACCAAATTGTACTTCTTTATGAAAGCAAGAACAGAATCTGTTTTCCTATAATTGTTGTCGCAGTGTATTAAAGAATTGTATATTGTGGGCAGATTAATTCCTGTTCTCCAAGAGTGAATATTATATGTCACATCTATGTATATGTCTATATTTGTAGGTCAAGTGCTCAAAGCCTAATTAGAATTAAAGAATAGTTCCTCTATTGTGCGTGTATGTTTACACAGACAGCACACCCAGTTTCTCCCTCACTCCTTTAAAAAATCAGACCTGAGGAAAGTACTTTTCTGAATTTCCTCAGTGACTTGCAGAAGCGGAGGTAAACTAACCTGGCCAAAAGCTAAAGTTAAGACATGGTAGATGTTGGCTCAGCCAAATAATCTTTCTCTTTTGTTGAAGATAGTTTCTCTTCCTCTACCTGCTGGAGATCCACGCCTCTGATTCAGGTATCCGGAAGTTTAGACAAGAGTGATCTGAACGACCTAATTAGTGTAAAAATTTAATCATTTCCACACTGAAGTCCAGAGAAGATAGGAAGCTTTAAGAGATCTAAAGTAGGTTCTTTTCAGTTTAAGAAAAGACTTAATATGCTCCTTTTGTCTGGTTCTCCACCTCCACCCTAACAGTTGGTAATCTATATGAAAGATATTTTTAAAAGAGATGATTATTAACCAAGTTTTACCACAACTTAAAATCCAAGAAGATTACTCAGAAACATTTGGTTTATGTTTTTAAAGTACTTGGGGGAGAATAGAAATTTTCATTCTTAGGGTTAGGATAAAAGATTTTAAGTAAAGAATATAGTAGGCTTAGTGTGCCTAATGATTATCTTGCTGCAGAGTTGGCAGTTAGTTGGAGGATGATTTCATAATAGCAACTGGGATAATTAATTTATCTCATAAACAGTGTCTCTTTAGAGCCTACAATACTGTTAATGAATCGAGGTACCTCAGAACATGCATCTCACTGTTAATATTAGCGTTATTTACATAGTGGGATCTTTTAAAATGCTAGTTTCTGTGCAGAGCTGATGATGATATTAAAAAATTGCCAGTCTGAATAAATGAAATGCACATGTTGGTTCTGTATACAAACTATTATCTCTAAGCCCATAGCTTATCAGTGTATGGCATCTAACCTGTAAAATGTGTTTCCACACTGCCATCATCATGGGAGTTGGAGAATGTAAGCAAGAGACAAGTGAATATGAAGTTATCAATTTCCTTTTCCTCCTGCCTTTACTCTCAGTAAAAGTGTGGTAATTATTACTTTATCTTAGTGAAAAGATACTCAGTGAGAACAATTGCCTTTATCAGGTATTTCCCTCTCTATTTCATAGCCTTTCCTTTTAGCTTATCTTCCACGGTTACTCTTTTTGAAGCATATGGCCGGTCAAACTATGGTTTACATTTTGTTTTTGCCTGATGTCTGTTCTATCACTTGCCATTGCTCTAATTGTAGTACATTCCCTCCTCTCCTATCTGCTTGAGTTTCATTTTTCTTTCAAAACAAGGTATAAGAGCTTTCACTGAATCCATATCTCACAACTGCTCTTTCTTCTGAACTACTGTATCATTTTTTTTTTCTGCATCACTTGCTTGGCACTTTGGCCATTTTTTTTTTTTTAAATTGTGGTAAAATAACATACACAATTTACCATATTAACCATTTTTAAGTGTTTAGTTCAGTATTGTTAAGCATATTCACATTGGTGTGCAACCAATCTCCAGAACATTTTCATCTTGTGAAACTAAAACTCTGTAGCCATTAAAGAATAACTACCCATTTGCCCCTACCCCCAACCCCTGGCAGC